CGAACTGTACAGTAGATTGCAGCGCACACTCTGTTACAACTACCACATTTACCTCAGCACAATTATACCTAAATGCTACTGTCACAGAGGTAGTGAAGAATTAAAATTAAATTTCAGGCATTTTCTGCCATGCTCTAGATAACAAACAAAGTTTTCATTCAGAAGATGTTTTTGTCATTGACTGAGAGCGAGGTGAGCATGCACTGAAGAATCGTTGTATATCCAGACACAACCAAGCAAGTAAAAACTGACTCAGTTCTTTCATACAACTGTAGCCCGAGATCAACACAGGTATGGCTTCAACGAACGGTGCGTCCCATCAATTTTATCCAAATTTTATCAAATCTATTCTATGCTTTATTACTCTAAATTTAATGGTGCTATATATCACTGTAGTTTCATGATTCGCCTCACGGTTAAGTCCAACACAGGCGATCGTCTGGACAACTGTACGCCTACAATGCATCTAATCTGAAGGGTTTAACCTTTAATCTTAATTCTGCACGTTGTGGAGCAAGCGTTTTAAGGCGGTATGGCAAACTTGCCCGAATTCATAATGCTATCAAAGCATGTACGTTGATTTACGGCTCAGCCATTTGGGAGTCCGTAACTCAGTACATCAAGGTGTCCGCTCTCCGAAATGTTGAAACGCAATGCTATTTGTTTGACTGCGTTGCAGGTCTTCAGCTAACCATTGAAGCTAAATGATACTTTTTCGGCTAAATGATTAATCCTTGTTTGTCGCCATCGCTTCATCGGCTGAGATGACTGCATTTTCAAACCAAAATATCACACTAATTATCCATCCCAAAGACATCGTCCATGTTAATAGGTTACACTGCTACCTGTTTACAATCAAGTTTATCACGATTAACCACTGTACATTTGAAAATGCTTGGTCAGCACTGGCAAAGATGAAGGTAGTTCGTTTTGCAATTAAAAAGTGCGGATCTTAACCTTACCAATATGCAAACTATTCTTATTATCTGTTTATTCCTTTGAACAAGGAATTTACTGCACTCTGCTGTGGTGCCACTAGTCAAAGAAAAGGTGTATCAAATCGATGACAAAAGCATCAGCGTAATGCTTGGGTGTGGTCATGTCAGAGCGCAGAGTCTAAAGACTACGCTCACTGATACATTCGTTCTCCTTACAAGCTATTCGCACTGAGCAATCATAGCTGACTAAATCATCTGAAGATGTAACCCGCAAATGAAAAGTCAGCAATCCATAATTGCCTGGACTGAGCATATGCAAAATGCGATAGCAAATAAGGCTTAAGGATTAACAAGGGGTTAACAGGCACAAAAGCGGACATATTCTCTAATTCAATGATTAACAATACCAAAGACAAGAAAACTCTATTTAATACGAACAAACGTTGCGATCAAACTGGCGCAAACTGGTATCGGGGTGGTCAAAGGGATTAGGCATAATGACCGATTTCAATCCGGTCGACACGTCGGACCGGATAAAGAAATTGCCTTTGAGTGTCGTGTCGCTAACCATGGAATTGTAAGACGTATGCGCTTCCAGTCACCTACGTTACGGTATTGGAATGAGTTTAAGAAAGCAGGTTTACGACGTTAACAAGCATATTTAAAGGCTTACTTGCTCGTTAAGCAGTCGCAACTGCCTTTCAACATATGGCACTAAACCGCGAAGGCAAAACT